ATCTTGCTAAGGATGATTCTGATTTGCATATTATTGAATGTATTTTTTTATTGTTATGACAGGGATTCGTGTATTTCATCGATGATGGAGTGTACGGGTCTTTTTCAGAATTGCTTTTGTCACCAGAGGTACATTTTCAACCAATTCCACTTAAAAAAATCTCGGACGAGGTTTACCCAACATGCATCTGGGGCCAAAGTTGTGACGGCACTGACTTTGTTAACAAGGCATGCAACCTACCAAAGGTAATGATGTTTATGAACATGCAATAGTATTTTTCAAAAGTTCGTCACGCCATCTTGAAAGTTCAATGGCGGATCCAGCAATTTTAAAAAGGGGGGCCAGTCGGCAAAAATGGCGGGGAATGTTCGCGAGAATTTGTTTTGTTTCGTCAACTTACTAATTTTCACAATCAAAATGCAAATGATAAATTAAAAAAAGCGATTATATGTGAAATTGTTTTGAGGGTTATTTTATTTTTCTATAATTTCTTGTTGTCTTTTCATCAATTGACAAACGTCTATTGTTCCATCACAATAGAGGCAAGCAACAATTCACAATCTCAAAGCGTTGTTGTTCTAAATTTATTATATGATTTTGTATTTCAGGAAAGGTCTATTAGGGAATTAAAACCTACACTCCAATCTGACTCACTGAAGCAAAACTCTTTGTTTGAATATGTATATCATATGACCCGTATTTCGGCACTACGCGCGCTCGTAAATAAAATTTGGGAAATGGTCACGTGATGGGGGCCGTACGCCTTTTCGCGACAGGGCCGTACAAACCCGTATTTTCCCGGCTTGAAGTTCAGCGCGCTTTTATTTTTTTACATCAAAAAACGTTGTCATATGATAAAATGCTTATTGACTGAGTTAGGTCGCTGAGCCCTCGTTCCGTACGGCATAACCTCGAGCCAAATATTTTCCCGTACGGCCCTCCCACTCAATAAGTACATAATATTTACTTTGCCAATATAATTCCCTGTTGATCTGTCAATAAATTCAGTTGTTGAAAATTATGTCATTGAAACGTCCAACATTTCTTGTGTTGATATTTCTAATGTTTGTCAAGATTCACACTAAAAACAAAAATAGCACTCTGCAGCCTCTCGTTTTTCTATAGTTATCTGTMGGCGACTGGTTGTACTTTAAGGACTTTGGTGCATATACAAGCTCAGTGGCCAGTAATTTCAATGGATTTGAAGCTTCCAAATACATTTATTACTATATCACCATGGAAACCTGGTATGTCAAAAAGGATTTTGCTATTTTATCGAATTTTTATCTAGGATTTCATCTCCCATCATGCTTTGCTGTACAAAATCGCTTCGCTTCACATTGACTATTTACTGTATGTCTTCTTAAAGGATGATATCCTATAATTAGAACGGTAAAATGAATCAGCGCCAAAAAGATGATGAATCACCCACACTGCTGTATCTTTGGTTATTTCAGGAAAAAGATGAAGTGGACAAGTGAAGACTTCAAAGTTAACATCGTGTTTATTGATGCTGAGAAAGCATTGATTGCTACTTGAATAATTGTTATTTTCTATTTAATAATAAAACTCAGCATTGAAGTTGGCGTAGTCCTAAATATGGTTATAATGGCCATCACACGTCATGTTTTGTCTTTTTTTCGATTTGCATCTCAGGGGTGGATCTAGACTAGTGCCACTAGTTCCATGGAACTAGTCAAAGTATTTTAAACATAAAAGAATTCAATGTTTTCTAAATATATTATCGTCAAAATGCGTTTAAAAACCTATTTTTATAGATTTTTTTAATGATAATTGCCACTGCCACAGGGATCCTGTGCAGCATATTCATATGATACAAAATGTGTGCGTTGCGGTAGAGTCCCACGGGAATATTGCTTTCAAATGATATGTTGTCACGCAGTTGCCCGTATATTAGCATATGGCACTGCTCAAACGTGCATCCTATTGGTTGGCACTAGTCAGCTTTGTTTTCTCATGTTTTCTGGCACTAGTCAAAGTCGATTTTCATTGGCTACTTGTATGGCTGGCACTAGTCGGCACTGGTAGGAAAGATCGAGCTAGCGTGACACCAGAATGTATTTCACAAGACACTCAAAAATAAACCTATACAGTCAGAATTATAAAACATGGCTTGAAATATAAATCGTAGAGATCCAGGTTGACGAAAGGTTCGACTTCTTATTTGATTTAATAGGTGTTTTGTTTAACGATCCAGGGGCGGATCTAGCATTTTTACAGACTAGTTTCCAACTAAAAAAATGTTGTATTGACATATGCTAATTAATTAAAACATGAATATTTATAACATCGGCCTGAAAAAAACCAAATGTTTAAATAAATGTGAAATGTTGTTTTTTTTTCTGTCGGCAAAATGATTCTAATAAACTAATGAACTAGTTAAGCCGATTCAGCCAACTTGTTAACATACACAAGGGACGGCAATGCGCCGCGGTAGATGACGCTAGCAACCGAATTCCAGAAAATTGTATTTCGAATTTAAATTATCAATTCTTAACTGTGTTTAATATGAACTTATTCGGTTCAAGCGTTTTCATTCTTTTTAAATCAAAAGAAATTATTTTCAATACATACCAAGCACGAAGAATGTTCACATGCATGAATCCGAATCTGTTTGGCGAATTCAATGTATACTACAGGAATTTCCTTTGAACAGTTTCACGAGAGGTTTATCCACATTCCGACACAAGAGCAACAGATCTAAACAGTGCTGGTAGTATTTCTGGCCTCGATCTTTTTTCCATTTGCTCAGTTAGTGTTGTTTTAGGGGCCAATTATTTCAAAATCTTTGCTAAACTGAATGGCACGAGGCCTTTGCTATGAAGACAGCATAGCCTTACTAGGGTAGGGTAATCACTGGTTTCTACTGGTTTCCGACTAGTTTCTGGTTAGGTCCTACCCCTCCCTCGTACAAACCAAANTTTTTTTTAACGATCTTCTGATTAAAAACGATCAAATCACAAACGTGTGGAAACCGGTCGACAGCGCGACAGAGTTACAAACTCTGCCGGACGATAACGCGTTTGTATTCCCTGAGTCAAAAGAAGTTAGAAGAACTAGAAGATCCAATCCTGTATTGATAAAGTCCGGCTAAAGAATTTTTCGTGGTTGGCTTATTCAAAATATATCGATGGACAGCCGTCTTTCAATGCCTGGAAGGTCATTAAGCGGTATAAATGGAGACAAGAAGTAGTGCCTTTCGATCAGCAGCTAGTACGTTGCTAAAGCAACAAATAGCCAAAAGACTATAATTTTTGTGGGCGCAATTATATTCCCCTACACGGCCGAAGAGTCGATAATCCGTAGTGTAATATAGTTAATTTAGAGTTTCAAAATTTACATGTTTGTAATTACTAAAAAATTGTTACTATTTATAAATAAGAAGAAGAAGAACAAGGACACACCTAAACCCTGATACATAATAATATTTATTGAGGTATCACCGCTATCACTAGAGAGTTTTAGCTTCACGTTGACGTCAAACGGCTAACGGCAGAGCTGAACCAATGAACTAAGAATTTCGTGCCCGACCTTGTGCTTTTGGTAGTCATTTGAAAGAGCGGCTTTTCACGATTATGGCAACCTCAAAATAACCCGCTCTCGCGTTGAAACGGCAACGTTAAACTCAAAACAAGCAGATCACGTGATCTTTTCTGCCGTTTGGCGTGAACGTAATGCTAAACCTCTCTACTAAGCAAGACTGAACCGAAGTAAAACCCCTCTAGGGGAGGGTGGGAGGGCAAAAAAACTAGCTAATGCTCTCTAATCGAACAGTAACAGTAATGACACATATCCGTCACGCGCTATGACTCAAAAGACTACATGACGTAATGGGATCGGTTTATAATTACTTATTGTCACAGAGTGATAATCTACCAAATAATTATATTGGCAATCGAATTTTGGGCAAGTAAACTTTAAATAAATGCTAGATAGTGTGTAGATAATTTATAGAAACCTTAACTTTTGAAAATTTCATAAACACAAGCGTACGAGTACCTCTCACATTGTCTGATCTCGGAGTGAAATATTTGCATAATTCGTCCACCTCAAATAACCTTAGATTTACTCATGCAATCTTCGAAAAATGGAAACAAATCCATCTTCTTCGAACGCTCTTGTACTACCAGGACAATCCATCGAACGTAGGTTTAAACTTCTGCAAAGTCATTAATATTGTGCACTGATTTGTTTTGCTCTTATGCGGAGTCTATTACGGTTTTTATTCTGGCAGGGACACTGGTTGTTGCAGAAGATGACATACCGTTTGAGACATTGACTGATTTTGTAATCCAGAACGCGCAAAGAGAGGTAAGTGTTTCTATTAATCCGGGCGCTTGTTGGCTAAATTACACAAGCTGCTTGACTTCCTGTTGCAATTCATACAAATATATCGTTTTATGCATAGTGAAAACATTAACCCATGCATTAAAGAAAGCTGCAGTCAAAGTGAAATATTGTACAGTGAAGACACAATGAAAAACTACGATGTATCAAATGCAAGATTAATTCCATCATTATATGTTGAAGTTCCAAGAAGTTCTTCGTTTATTCACGGGTTTTTAAAATACCTTCACTATATAGTCATAACAGCGATGGTAGACTGGAATGCAACCAAGCTTGCTATTATATATAGTGTATATATTGTATACACTATTATATATAGTGTATATATACTGTATATTATATGGGAAACTTAGAAACTCACGGGTATGCAGTATTTTGAAACTCGTTCCCGGGAGTCGTTACCGAACCTCAAACTAGATTTTGAGATTTAAATCAGTTTTACATGTGATAAATTAATTTTAGATGTGTTTCGCCATGGCTTTTGGACTAAATATATCTTTTCCTGATCTTATGCGAATTTCTGAGTAAGTTTTAGACTGCCGGGTATGTAGTATTTTTAAAACTGTTCCCGTCAGTTTGTCACGACTGACGCTCGAAATTTCGACGAAATTTTTGCTATTTCTATAGTATGCCGAGACTCAACAATTTTGATTGCTTCTCATGTTCATGGTCCATAAGAAGCGCTTCCCTGTTCTAAACAAAGCTAGCAGACTTTGAAATCGTGAAAGCAATTACTAAGGCGTAAATTTTGAATTGAATAAAAACTCCCGGGTATCTAGTATTTTGAAATTCGTTCCCGGGTGCCGGGTATCTAGACACTTTGATCATATATAATCAGATTTCATAGCGCAGTGTCTTGGTGTCTTGCATGATAGTGACGACCGAAGAGAGAAAATCGAATTTCTGGTACGGACAATCACGGAAAAGGAATATAATTTGAGTAAATACTTCTTTCAAGCAGTTAGTTGTCTGTGCTAGTCTATCATTGAACACATAGTTAAATGTTATGCTCAACCACAGCATAACCGAGCATCTGAGCAATGTCAAAAAATATAGAGATTCCAAAGCTACCAAAGTCTATATTCACGAGTTATATTAGTCAGTGAAGAAGAACTTTTATAAAAAAAACACGATACCTTCACCCTATTGAATAATACTTAAAATGAGACACTTAATTATTACACAATAAAGGTAATTTGCATAAATCTTCGCCAAACATTTTCAAGTACTGGTAGCTCCATTCATCACACGCTCTAGGAGCGTGAAGTCGGGCAAGTGAGAAAAAATAATTAAAAGACCAAGGTGAATGCTTAATAGAAGTTCGATTCTCACGGAAAGGCTTAGTATCATCACGCATTCTGAAAATAGTGATTTATATAAGACATATGTTTCTAGGAACAAGATGATGGATTTTACATGATGAATATGGAGAGAACCATCACTATATACAACAAGGTAAGACTATACAGAGATGAACAACAGTTAAATCTAAAATAATTTACAGAAGATGGCGAGATATTACTCCGTATGTCTCAGCTCCCTTCTACACACTCATGAGTGTACAGAGTTTTGTTTCAAGAATTTTATTTTTTTCGAAGAGGGAAAATATTCTCTCCCACGTAGCGTAAACAAAATGCACGCAAGCATCCCCGTATATATCCGCTATACGTACACAGATAGCTTTCAAAGGAATCAGTCAACAAATTAGTAAATGCGCATAAAAACAAATCTAAGTCAGCGCCTACATTCTTATATTTACAGTTCCATAAAGTAATAGTTTATAAAAAAAATATGTATTCGAGCATCGTATGCAGGTATTTTCACTCTGGAGATGTGAATATTTGGAAACACTGCCTTTGAACGTTAGCTTTATCGGAATAAAGACACTTGCGGATACAAAATATTTTGACTTATTTTGGACGGGGTCAAACTCAAAATCGTCATCTTAAATTTATTTAAACAAAGTAAGCAATTACAAATGTTCCTGGGTGCAATTCATAAACTAATTGTTCCTTCTTGTTGATTATGACAGTGGTGTGCTCTTCTTCCAAGAATTCGACCCTTTTATGGTATATGAATATTTTAGTTTTTATTGTTAGTATGATTAAGAATGAAATGCGTTGGTAGAAAAAGTACAGAAAGTCAACTGAGTTATAAATTATTCATGTCATACAGGACATAGTCCTAGGCTGGCTTTTTCTGGCAAGGTATCACTACTTCTGTTAATCGCAATCCATCTTGAAGCTACTCTTGAATGCATATGGCTCCCTGTGGCAAAATTGAATGCTTGTAATATTTCGACTCAAAAATTGAGAAAAAGTCACTTCTGATGTTTCTCAAATTGTATTCCCAGATACTGAGGTTGATTTAAAGTCGTCACATACTACAAAATATCAAAAATATAACATCGTCCCTCGCAGCTAAACTGAGCTTGCTGAGCTTGTTTTCCCTCCTTCAGTAAGCCACAGAAATAATAATAATAACAAATAAACACCTTCATTACAACATCCATCGACAATGAGTTAACGTCTCAAATCGCTGTAGAAACAAGCGTCCTATACTAAACGGAGAGACTGACAGACTTTACATTGACTGCATACGACACTCCTCACAGCTATTTTTTGACTGAGGGAGGAAAAGCAGCGTATCAGGAGAAAAACCCTCGGAGCAAGGAAGAGAACCAGCCTACACTAAGCTCAAATCACATATAGTCCCGGACCGGGAATCGAACCAGGACCACAGCGGCGATAGAGCGGTGTTTTAACCGCTTGGCCATCCTCGCTTCCCTGAAATCATATGATAATAATGAGCAAGTCAACTAAATAGTTCGAAGATGACCAAATAGTCATATATGCGAAGCTTACGTAACTACCTAATGTCATTCTTGTAATTTTTAGCAATCAAGTGTAATCCTGACCCAGTCCTTGTACGCCAATTGAAGCTGTTGGGAACTGGGTTTGACTGTGCTAGCAAAGTAGGTATACATTTCCACTCCTTTGAACGGATTGTTATAGGTACTAGTCTATATATCCTTGATAACGCCAATCAACATCAAAGAGTAAAGTTATAGGGACTTTAAAATGGGCCATTGTCTAACGGCACTCAATGCAGTCGTGTTTGCAGTAGATGAGTTTTTTTGATATATGAAAAGTGAGGTTACTTGAAAATCTACTCGCAATCCGTTTCAATCTGTTAGTTTTAAGGTCGAATATCATCTCCATTCATATAGTATAAGGAGATGATAAAGAGTGAATTTTTTCTGTTCAAAAACACAAACAAAATCTCGCAAAGGATACACTGGTTGAACTTGACCCTTTGTAAGCACAACTAAACGTTTCCGTGAAACCGCTGGACCAACATAATTGACYTTCAAATTCAATTCAGGGTGAAATAGAGTTTGCACTTAGTATTGGATGCAAACCCGAGGACATCATATATGCCAACCCCTGCAAAAAGCCTTCTCATCTCAGGTAAAATCATGTTTTCTTTTGTGATTTTGCATGCATTTGAAATCATTCCTTCTTTGAAGTAACTTCATTTAATTTTTTGCATTTTTAATTTTCAAAAACTCTTTAGCAGCATTTCCCCTTTTTGATAAAARTGATTCAAAAAGTTGTTAAGATGTGTCAAACGCCGAACTGAATTCGTCGAACTTAAAGAATCATAACCAACCGCCGTACCTTGCGCGCTCGTATTATTGTTTACATACGTTTAAATGCGTCAAGCATACAATAAATTATAGATTGATAGTACCTGTGAGGTACTTAGTTAAAGGTATTTCTGTCCAAACTGAAAGGACGGAAGACGATTTGCGCTCACTTTAAGAAATCCTACAAATCCGCCATTTTCGTGTCCACCTAAAATGGCGCTTCGGTTCGCAAGGTACGGCGGGTGGTTATGATTCTTTAA